ACAAACATGCAGGGAAATGAAAGACAAGTTGCACACATAGAATGCCACTAGTACAAGAAGTAGCTCACTTGGAATGCCCTACCAGGATTTAGGGTAGGCATTCTAAAAAATATGCCCTGCAGGCATTCTAACTCATCTCTATGTAGGGAGTAGAATTCACATAGTTTGGCATTCTATCTTTCAGTCCGACGCTATACTTCTGAACCTCGTGCCTCTGACAATCCAAGAGTGTTTCCGGGGCGGGGTGTGCTCCGAGCGGTTGCGGGAGGGGGGTCGATCGATTGTTCGACCCGCCCAGATCTGGACCTGCCGGTATGTCAACCCAGCATGAAAAGAATGGACAAACTGAAGCTAGACATAGTTCCATAAAGATTAATGACTAAAAAGAAGTAAAGAATTGATAAGAAATGCATAGAAATGCGGTTTCATAGCACAGGGAAAAACGCGGGCCCCCCATAGCGTCTATTTCTGTTCATGCAAGGTTTTGGGACCGCCAAAAAAGAACTCGCACAGAAAACTGACAAAGACGGGCTCTTCACTCTGAGCCTTGGACCGATGATTGAAGTAGAACGGTCTGAACAGGACCGCCGAGTCCTCAACGCGTCACGAGCAGCGCGATGTAACCCACGTGGGCGCCAGCGAGAGGGCGTGCGGCCACACGCGTGGGTCTCCATTTCATGGTTCTTGACAAACAACCATTGTTTTACTATGTTTTACTAAAGATGTTGGACTACAAGAGATGTAACGAGTAACGAATTGTTCAAAGTATAGTTGCAAGAATTTCCACCTGCGAACGAAGCAGTCGTCCTCCTCGTCAAGGAGGGCACAAACCAAGTTGGTGTAGCCTTGATTGGCTCCGGCTGTAACCATCACCTGCAGGCAGCCACACTTGGGCTCGCCGAAATATGGGTCTTTCAAATGGTTACCGACCGCTTCTGCAACAGGCTGGAGACAAGATTCCTCCCGATTCAAGTGAAGATACGACACCTGGCTGGATGAATCTATTTGTGTCGAAGGTGGATCAAAGACTCGTAGTTCTGGGATCCCGGTCTTTCTCATTCCACCATACAGTACCAAAACCAAAACCAAACTTCTGCCCCAAAGCAGATCCGCTCTCCATGGCCTGGAAAATAAGGTCGCGAAAACGAATCACATTTTACTAATTGATTCGCTTTGCGGGAAAATCATGCATCCACCCACCCCACCCGTGCACCTCTACACCATCAAGCCCATTCTCCTTGCGCAGCTTCTCCTGCACCGCGCCGGTCATGCGGGCGGTTCGCGTGTTGTCGCGTTGGGCGCGCGCGCGCAAGACGACGGCGATCCTTCAAAGCTGCACGAAGGCTGGGCCTGAGACATTGGCAACCAGAGGTGTCAGATCTTACTCACCCGGTTCAGTTCTTTGCTCGCTCGTTCTTACGGGATTCCTTGCTCCTCTGTCTGAGCCCCATGCAAACCATCATCCGCACCTGCGGAGTCACGAGAGTTGGGGCTAGATGATTGCTGAATCAGTCTCCACTTTCTGACAGATAGCAGCCAAGCAGCCAAGTCAAGTCTTGTGAACAGGGTATTAAAAATCATAGAAAAACATAATGAAACCATCACCCTTCCATGATCCATGTCTTGGCTCCCGATTCCATTCGATTCCGCCAAGTGACAATAGGAGTTGGTATCCGGCTCATCTGCCGCGGTCCTCACAGCCTGTCCACCAGACATTCCGAGCATGGAAGGCACGAATCGCAAGTCTCAAAGCAAAAGCGCCAAACAAATCAACAGGAAAATCCCGTGGAAACATCCAGCAATTGTTCGGGCCCAAAACTCCAAAACGATCCCCAGGATGTTGAAACTCTTCTCCCCCCAAGACGCAAACTTCACCTCTGGTAAAAGAATCCGCAGGACTCCTTCCAACGTCGTGCCAGTGCCCCATTTTCCAGACTTCACCTCCGGTGGACGCTGTTGACGGACAGACCGATGCTGTCGCGCCTCTAAGGCTTCGGGCGGTGGCGCCCAGTGGACGATGCCCTGCGCCAGTGACATGATGCCCTCCTTGCCACGGAGCATTCGTTGCCTCACAGCGGCGGCGAGTGGCGTGAGAGAGTCGTAGAGTGATGTGAGGGGAAAATTGGTATTGGCGAAACTAGCCAAGGTGTGTTTGTGTGGTTCTAAGTCGATCAACTGTCGATTTCACAAATTCAAACGCCTTAGATATATGAGTGTTTCCATGTGTTTCCGTTTTGTGACCAGTCACACAAATTCCCACGGGTTCTCCCTGCGACTTTGATTAATTAGTTTGATAAACCTGCTTTGCCGAATTAGCAAACGATTCAGATTCTCTGACTCTGCTTGCTAACCTAAAATTCGTTCAATTTCTTTCGGTAGGCTGGGCATCTTCCCATCCTCCCGAGTGCTCCCCTGTCATCCCGGCATTGCCACAATGCACGGCTCATCTGTCAGGCGGATCCTTTTGCTGGGCCGCGGAGCCTCGAACTCGGAATAGCACACTCATTCGACAAAGATCATCATTGGAGACCATCGCTATAGTAGGTTGGAGGCCATCGCTATTAATTATTATATAGGTTGGAGTCAGTGTTGGAGTCCTACGCGTACTTCATGAAGTCTTCCATTCCGAAAGACTACCGTGAAAACATATGAAAACCATAGCGGCTATAAACGATCCCTCCAACCTGCCTCGCTGGCCATCGCTCGGCCCCAAAGACCAGGCCTCGTCAGCTAGCTGGATGCTCGGAGGGCAAGTGTGGTCATGACCGTGCCGGAAACCAGCATGATATCAGCATCTTTTCTTGCCAAAAGTACAGTACATACAAAATCATACAGTGACAGGCATACGTACTAAGTGTCCCGCAGTCATCCTACCTCCTGATTTGTCTTCAGGGTATGTTCATGCTACGTCACGTCCATTTCCCACCATGACATGATTCGGCCTCAGCCAGGATCGAAGATGACCAAACATGCTCCGAGCCAGTAACCACCGAGACGCGTGTCATCTCTTTGAAGAGTGGCCTGAAACTCGATCAACCCATGCTTGGCGTGCTGGGCTGCACTGAAAATACACTTGGTGGAAAGATTGGACAGTGATGTTCTGCCAGTATCTGTCAGTCAGCTGGAAGCTTTTTTGCATCTTGTTGCCCTGTACACCGCCTGCGCCGCGTCTGGCCATTTCGACGTGCAGGTCCTAAAGACGATTCAGAGCTGAAGAGCTCGGTGAGAACTGCTGCCCGCTTCCCCAAGTGCCCGGAACGGGGCTACTAGTCACCAGTGGGTTCAAGGAGTCTTGTGCTTTGTGAGGCTGAGAATTGTGATGGCAATATCTACAGCTGCATTTGCGCATGAAAGCTGGCAGCAAGACATTAGCAGAATCCAAGATCCTTGAGGGACTTAGTCCTCGAGGACTTAGGGGAGACGTCTCACAGCGACACAAAAATACAGCTATCCAGTTGATGATAATGTTCACATCTTTCAGTTAGATGTGGTTTGGCTTTACGGTGCTTGAGATGTCTGCGTCTCCTGGGCTCTTCAGCATCACAACACCATTTGAGATCACCACTTAGTGAGTCATCCCCGGATAACAGGAGCATTCCAGTCTCTAATCATGCACCAATGGGAGGACTTCGCCATGTCCGGGAAGCCACGTGAAGCATTGAGCCTCTGATCTGACCTTTCCACTGTTGCAAGTTCTGTCATCTCCCCCTGCCCTCATGGCTCCTGCGACAAGCCCAAAATCCACTGCCCTGGAAAACCATCGTACCAATTGTTTTTGTGTGTTCATCTCCAAAGGTTGGTTCCGTGAAACATGGCCCAAAATTGGGTCTGGTATCTCCAGAAACATGGATAATTAAGGAAGAATTCACAAGGCGATCATTGGAGATTCGAGAGTGCTAAACAAGGCATCAGCCATGGTTGGAAGATCTTGAGAGGTTGGGCGCGAGGGTCCCCCAAATCCAGGCCATCCTACATCTTCACCTCGCCACAGCGTCGCAGAAAAGCAAAATGTCTCTGCCTTCAACAAATGGAAAGGCCAGGTCGTGTTCCGCTGAGATCGTTCAGGATTGGCAGCACCAGATGCTGCGCAAGAGCCTTGTCGTCTTCTCCTGCGGTGTGGAGGTTTCAAACCCACCCACCTCAGCAAAACTCCTCTGCAGAGATCCTGGTTATAGTATATAATTGCAACCTTTTCAGCGGGCGTTAAATCCTTATAGATGCTCCTGCCGGTAGGTTCCATCTCCCGAGGAGCCTGGTACATTACCTCTACCTATCAACGCAACAAATGCCATTGCATCTTGATCGATTCCCAAGCACAAGACCTGCCGGCCGTTCTGAATGGAAGGCAACCTCAGAAAAGGTAGCGTGGCTAAACATGCATGACACAGCTCAACTGCTGCTTGCTGTCTAGCAGTCTAGCAAACAGGAGCTCTGTTATCAAACATGGCACAGCGATTCTGTAGCCTGTGTATGTGGCTGTTGCTCTAGACACAGCAAAAGCAGTAGGGCGCCCAGCCACTTGCCTTTGGAGCTCTCTTTGCGGCCTCCGCAAAGGTTGCACAAGCCATGAATTCAAAGAAGGCCATGGACCATGGAAAATGGCTTTGGACTGGCACCTTGAAAGCTTTCACCTTCCACTTTCGAGCATATTAGAATGAAATCCTCATGTCCACAGCTGCAAGTTGCTGGTCCTGGAGTCTAAGTGTCTATGCAGCCCCCCAACTCTCCTATCCACGTGAGGGGAAGAGTCCTGTAGTATCTTGCAAACCCTATTTGTGAAGGTGTTTTGAATGCATCCAGCTTAGCTCATCAAGCTCTGCCAAAATCATGTTGTCATGAACTTCCCCAATTACTCTGAAAATTAGAAAATTGTGCACCTTGATGCTTTTCCCAAAGAACCCACAAATCCACCTGTGTTACCAACGTGAACTGCGGCCCTGTTCGACCCCTCCGCGGCTTCACAACACCTGCAGTGGACGGCTTGGCGTAGGCTAAGAAGCTCTCTTGCTGCGGACGGGCCTGGCAGGTGGCCCAGAAGACGAAGTCAAAGCTGTCTGAAAAGTGTGCATAAGGTGGCATAAGCATCATGGATATTGATCATCGAAACATCGAGGATTCTTTCATTCGCTGTGTAATCTTTGTAGGTCACTTGGAAAGGGTCCCCACGAGCAAGACAATGAAAGAGACACATTCTATCTGCTCAAGAATGATCCTCACCGTCTGCCAAAAATCAAACCCATTGCACGATGACATGATTGTCTCACGCAAACGGCACACCGTTGACCCCTCGTCCCCTCCAAGGTCCCAAGCAGCTTGTGGACTTGGCACCGGAGCCACTGCGCGAGAGGCAGAGGTCCTCGCAACATCCCGAAAATGGGGAGTGGGGACTGGGGACAATCGTTACTCTTGTGTAACCATGCTTGACAGCTGCCCGGGAAGAACGGCTCGTTGCTTTTTGCAAGGGTGCTAAGGCCTCCAGCTGGATGTCTCAAGATTCAAACCTCCTGCATCTTAGGATTCGAAGGTTCGAAGGGGGGAATGGTGACAATATTCAATGTAAGCTTTCTTATCCTCATCTCGAAGATCGCACTCGAGAAAGAAGACGTCAATGAACTCTGCTTGAAGCTTTGCCAGCAGTTGCCGCGAGAAGCGGAAGTATCCGTCATCGGCAAAGCCATCTCCCCAGCTGTTCTTGATCTTCCACGCCTTTTGGTCACAGCCGATGATAATGACAGAGTGACCAGACACTTCGCTTCCATCCCTGTCAGGAAGTTTTTCCAACACTCCCGACGGATAGCTTTCGAAGAATGAGCTTAGGGAGCTCCATTGGTTCTTGTCAAGCCAAAAGCTCACAAGAACTGCACGCCCCATCTGCAGGACGTTTTCCACAGTTCCTGCATTGATTGTTGCGCATCTCAAGCGCTTGGAGCCACATTCTGCCGTCAGCACCTTTAGCGGGTTGGCACCTTGTGAGCCATGCTTTTGAACTAGTCTGCTCACGATATCGAAGTGCCTCTCCAAGCTCCTCCCTACGATGCGACGCTCGCTGGCGCAAATGATAGTTGCTGCAGCATGCGCATAGCATGTCCCTGCATGCTCGTGGCCTAGGATGTTCGCAAAATCCTGCTGGCTGTGAACCGCAGAGGACACTTGCACCTGCTCGAAGGAGAACGTCGTGTGGTAGGCAACTGGATCCATTCCCAAGTCAACCAGCGTCTGAGGCTTCTCCCACTTCCAGCATATCTCATTGCAGGTGTGTGAGCAGAAAAAAGCATTGATTCCTCTTGGCCCCAAATCTGTCACTCCGAAGCGCTGCTGTCCTTCTTGACTGTGAATGGCTGGATCTGTGAACTTCCAGCCAGTCTTGCCCAGAACTCCTTGGAGGTCACATATGAGGAGTTCGCCTTTTGTTACCCACCAGGAATAGTGGGAGAAGGCTTGTGCTACATCAATGTGGTGTCCCTTTTTTTTGGTGACGTATCCATTGTTGCAGTTTGCCTTGATAAACTCACCCTCCAGCTCGGGCTCAACGCAAACTCGCTCGCCTTCACGAAGACCACCTGTTTGGGTGTTTCTTCTTTGACAAAAGGCGGATGTTGATGTGCTTCCCACGCAAGAAACCTCATACAGGAATGCACTTGCAAACATCACTTGGCACCAAGGAATGACAGGTTTGACATCCCGATTGAACTTTGGTGCCAGCAAAGTAGCCTCGTCCAACGCCTGCAAGTCTTTATTCCATTCTGCAGCCTGCATGGCACGAGAGCGTTTGAATGCTTTCACAATGCATGGGTAGTAGGGTCTATCCTTTTGTCTCTGCCAACAACCATTCAAACGGTCCATGAGCCGCCTGTCCACAATTGCTCCTTGTGCATCCGCTCCGACATACACCTTTCCTCTGAATGCCACGCGAAACTTTCCACAGTCAAAGGGATGTGGTTCAAACTCCGCTCTCTTCAGGCTCACATCCTCAGCTGAGAGCATGTTGCCATTGAACTCATACCTGAAAGGCTTGGCCTGGGAGTCAACACGTTGTACATTTCCCATGGCTCAAAGTGTTGCCTGCTCACCACTGGCCGCGTCCAAACTTCGAGCCACATAAAGCCGCCCCACATCCACGCAAGTGACATACCTCAACTCAAAGTCTTCAAGCAACACAACAGAAGTTACTCCATCCTTACTGAACAATGTTTGGACAGAAAGAGAGCGTTAAAGTAGCACTGCAAGGATTCTGATGGATCACAAACTGCAGAAAGTGGCGCATCTCCGCACTCCTGGAAGGACGCCTTTCGAGCTGTTGTCCCGGTGCTGTGAATCCTCGCTGTTTCAAGACGCTGCTGTCGTCAGATCGGGGAGTTGGGTGCTGGGTCGATGATGGAAGGAATCCAAACCAAGCAGGACATTGACTCCACTGGAAACAAGCAGGATGTTGTCCAACTCTGGTAGGACTTCCTTGAACAGTACATTCCTTGCAAATTGATAGACCACCGTTCTTTGAATGGTTCATCTTTCGGTGAGTGTCTGCCACAATAGTATCAGGAGTGGTTCAGGTGTATCATGGCCTAATTACATGCCTCATGTCAATGTTTCTACCTACGGTTATCCGCAGAACTTCCCTGTTGACCTTCCAGTTCACATCCCAGGTCATCTAAGCGAAAGATCTCTAAGCCTCTGAGCCCCTGGCCAGCCCGCGCTCGTGGTGCATGTCGCCTGAGAACCACAAAACTGCGGCGGGTTGAACCGCAACCAACCAAGGCCGAGGAACAGCAGCTCGTTCATGTGCGGCTGCTCAATACCGCAAGGCGGATAGACCTGGCTCTCCGCAACAACTTCTCACGCTCACGCTCGGTATTCGTGTAGTTGCTAGGGCAGTGGAGGGTCTTTGGTACCAGACTCAGGGCCTTGAAAGGGTGCAACGGGCGTTCCTTGGACATCCAACTGCAAAAACGCTGCCGCTACTTGTGCTTCAAGCTCCGCAAGAGAATTCTCCAACAGCTTCGTAAAAACAATCAAACGGATTCAAACGGACACTTCATGAGAGACCTCCAAGCGCCACCTCTCGGTGGTCGAGGCCCCTCACCGTGGCCTGGAGAGTTCGGCAGGCCCCGTGCATCGATTTGATCTCGTGCGACTGGTCGTCCACGAAGATCGCCTCAAAACGGACACCGGTCAAAGCATCAAGACATCTTCAACCTACTTCAACCTCCCCTCCAAATGGCTCAAGAACATGTCCCAACCGGATGATGAGGCTAGGACGCCCCCAAAGCTCCAATAAATCCAGTGCCCAGTGTGTAAACCCCTTTTTCTTGTTGCACTCCTTCAACCAGCCGCCTCCATGTCGAACCTCCCAAAGCAGCCCCCCCGTCAACAAGGACCGTGGCAACTCTCCGTGTCAAGGACAGGACCTCCTCCGGGCGAAGGCCACGTGAGAGCAGCAGATGTTCCACCACTTCTCTCTTCGAACCTCGGTAGCCCACGTTGTTCCAACACTGAGCGGGGTCGCGGTTCAGCTGGGTCACAAGCTCCAGGACATTAGGTGGGATCCGGTGGACCCGGTAAGGAAGCCCTTGACATGGCGTTGGAAGCTCTTGGTGCGTCAGATGCATTGGGCGGATCCTTCTGAGATCTGACGCACGCCCAGAGCTTTGCCCGTCCATGTAGGGTCAGGAACAGTTCGAATCAGCTCGTATCGCCTCGCAGATCCTCATAGCCCGTAGCATTAATTGTCCCAGCCCAGAATGATTGGAGTTCTTTGAAGTAGCGAGACTCAGCAAGACAGTCCCGACATGTCCAGACATTCTTTTGACAAAGAGCCAGACCTGTTTGCAATTTTGGATAGTGCTGGGTCTGGGATGGCCCTCTCAGTCTATGGTCATCCCATGTCATCTTCTGTTAGATTCTATGTTGGAGTCATGTTGATGGTCATCCTCTAATTAGTTACTTCTTTCTTTCATCTTCTTTCATCACCTGGCAATGAGCTTGCGGCCCCAGTCAGACTGCTGACGCGTACCCTGGCCGCAATCGTCCATGTCACAGATGGTTTCCCCACAGGCCGCGACAAATGAGCGAGGTCTGTGTGTGTGTGTGTGTCTGTCTTTTTGTGGAGTTCTCTCTACTACGTATGACGTATGACCCTGATGAAAGGAGTTCCACTTGACGGCAATAAGACTCACGACCCGCGACCGACGCCCAAAACCCGCTGGGAGTGCCAGGTACTTCACATCATCCCCCAAGTTGGACCGCCTCACCTGAGTGTCGTAGCCTCAGCATGTTCGGAGAATCGCCGGTGCACACAGAATCGCCCCAAAGGGGTGGAATGAAGGGACGAAGAGGGCAAGGAGAGGGACGAGATGGGTGTCTTCTCATATTATATGTGGAACAAGTCGATGAAACTCTCACATTGAGACATCCATAACATCCAGAATCCACCCACTATCTACTTAACACATGAGTCTGGAGATTGCTGGGATCATCTAGGAAATCATCCAGATCATCCAGTGGCTTTTTTGGTCTGGTCGCAGGGAAGCTATTGACGGTTGACGCTGGTCAAGGAGACCTTCACCCAGAAAATGGATCAACACCAGTGAAGACTGTCGAACTTCCATCGGCGTTTGGCAAAGCACTCCCATCTTTGCGTTAGCAACAAATCCAACGGACATGACCTTCATTTGGTCGGTCCGTAGCAACCCACAGAATTAAGTGAAGCACCAAATTTCAGGCTTCTCGTAATTAATGTACAATGCGGGCCGTCTACAAAGAGAGGGTCTCGCTGTTGGCTCGCGGAATTTAAGGAAGGCGTGGTTGTCCAGAAACACCTTCTGCATGACTTGAGCTTGGACCGACCCTAAGGCAATGAGATGTTCATCCTTTATCGAAAAGGTGCACGTTCTTTCGGCAACATCCATGCTTTTTGTGAACATTCTGACGAGTTGATCTTGAAATACCGCAGCTCCTCTCCTTGCGCTTTGCGTGCAGACCATGGCGAGCGGTCGCTCACCGCTGCAAGCCTTAGACTTCACGAGCGCAGCGAGCGCAGCTTTTCCCGGTGGATCACAGTGTCTAAAGCTCAGCGCGCCTGTCTATTGGTCTCATCAGGTCTGCACGTTTGAGATACAACAAAGCTGGACTGCACAATCTTTGGGCACAGTTTGCTACTAAGGAGATGATCCGATATGAACTGATGAATTTCAAGAGGGCTTCATGGCTTCGCGGCATTCTCAGCCTGAAACCCAAACCCAACCGCCAAAAGACAAAACCAAAGCACCGTCCCCCGCCAAGCAATCCAAAAGCCAAACCAATAGACTAAGCTCACTGGATCCGGCCAAATTCCACTGGGTTCCCGGCTCTTTGGCGGTCTCCCCCGCTTCTTTGGGGCGCCCTTCGCCTCGGGTACCGCAGGCGCTTTGGGCGCTGCCGCAGGCGCAGCCTGACAGCTGAAGTGAGAGAACTCTCGGTGCACCCCCCTGAGAAGAGGGAAGTCTAAGTCTAAACTAGGACCTGGATGGACCTAGGACTGGCTCCCTTCCAAACTGGCTCACTTCCAAACCAGCATGATACGGTTTGAGCCGAAGCCTGCGCCACAGCTTTAGGTTCATCTAATGTCTTCTTTCACCAAGGGATTTGTTGGATTGACGGGGTGCTTATCAGCAGACCCCTAACGTACTAAATTGGCCCTTCCAGCAATGCTTCAAATGCTGGAAATAGGGCGGGCTGTTTTTTGTCGAAGGGATTCATAGACCGCCGCTATGCGGGTCTACTGATCTACATCGGGTTTCTGTGGGTATCTGAACTTCTCCTGTGCAAACCCCGTTTTCTTTGCAACACCAACTTAACACCTCCCACCACGGCAAGAATCCCAAGCACCGAAAACCGAGTTTGGCGGAACCGAGCACCGGTTCCTGCCTCTGCTTGCTCTCGCCTTTTCTTGGCCTGGCAATTCAGGTGCAGGTGGAATTGAGGATCTCCAAAAGCTCAGAGGTTTTGTTCACGAGTTTTCTATGAGATTTGGAAGATTTGGGGACAACATGGGACAACCAACTGCCCTTGATTCCATGTTTCCTTGATTGTTTGTTTGTTTGTTGTTTGCTTGCTTGGCTTGTTTGTTTGTTTGGCTGTTTGGTGGGTTGTTTGTTTGTGTCAACAAGTTCTGCCTGGGAGGTACATATTTGGAATATATGCGGATGAATACCTCGTGGGCTGTATATTTTTAAAATTCCACGGCTGCCGCCAAACAATCCAACTGCGATGGTACTCAAATTTGTCAAAACACCATAGAACAACACAACAAAACACGCGCAAATTCCCTGCATCTACCTGTAAATCCATTCCTGGCACCACCTCTCTTCGGATCGCCGTCCATCTGTTGCCTCAACCAAAGCCTTCTCCAGCTCCGTCTTCCGTTGAGCCTCTTCCGAAGCTCGGAAGACCGGTGGATGTTCCACACATCGGACTCTAAGAAGCGTTATTGTTACGTTCGTAGCGATGGCCTCCGTGCGTAGCTTCTTGTGACTCAGAAGCGGAACGAAGACCTATATAAATAAAAAGCTTCTTGCTGCTACAGGTGAAACGATTCCCAAGGAAGCTTCCTTCTGTTTATGGAGTTTGTCCGTTAGTTGTTTTTTGTGTGTGTTTCTGCATCTAAGAAGGCCCCACACTTGGCGAATGGCAATTGTTTGATATTGTTTGCACCTATCTTACTTTTCAGTCTAGGGATAAGCTTGGAAACTCAGAGTCCAGAAAGCTCACTTTTTGCAAACATCTCTCATCAGCGTTTCCCACACGGATCTCACTGATTATGTAGCACTCCTCACTCCCATCTTGCACAAACATTACGCATGAATACGCATGAGTAATTACAGTATTGGAAAAGTCACCCAAGAATAATTTGATGATTGATTGTGGATTGACACGGATTACATTGGGACTCAGCCCTTCGCAGCCATTAGAGGCATCCTTGCCCCATGGCCGTCAACGGCTGCCTCTTTTGCCGCTTCCTCTGCCTCTTGTCTCTTGCCCTGTGGCGGGGCAACAGTTTTGGGTCTGCCGTTGCATGATGCCCTTCAGAACACCAAGTCATAGTAAAGTAGCAGCCCAATCACAAAGACCCCCCAACCGCCTCCAACTTGGCCAACCAGGACCTTTGGAGCACAGGTATCACAAAGTCCAACTCCTTGTAACCTCTGTGCCATGGCCACCCTTGGCCAAATGCATGTCAAGCTTCGAAAACCAGCAAAACCCGACATG